CTTTGGAGGCCTGGACACTGCTCCTGATCAGTCAGCCATCAGGTCCAATCAGCAGCTGGCCTCTTGCAGCTCGAGGTGTGTCTGTAGGGCCAGGCTTCAGGGACTCTGGCAGGTGGACAGTGGCACAGCTTTCACCCCACACATGGTCTCTGCAGGCCTGGGCCCCATGGAAAAGCAGCTGCTTGGGGTTTTTTTGTTTTTTGTTTTTTGTTTTTTTGTCTTTTTCTTTAGCTGCTTGGTTTTTTCAAAGATCTCCCGCGAGTACCACTTGGCACACACGCCATGGCTGAGCTCCTTCAGGCCCACACGGAATTTGAGCTGAAGTGGGGCTCCATCTGCAAAAGGAGAGCCCCGTTTGGGCATGGCCTCGAGGCCAGTGGACAATTGCTGAGTTTATTAACTGTATTGTATTTGCCTGTGGAGATGACTTTTGCATATCAGTTACTAAACTTGTTCAGACCGTGAAAGTATTCCTGAAAGAATTAGAAAAGAAAATTACAGCATCCTATAACTATAAAGTCATATAAGCTGATCTCTGTTGAAAAGTCATACCCTAAATATTTGAGAAAACATATTTTTCTCTTCACTGAGATTTCCAGGCAGGTTTGTTTTGTCTCGCAGTGAAGATTTTGTAAAGGTTTCCTTAAGACTAATCTGCTTCCTTTTCAGCTATTCTCTCTGCACCTTTATAAAGGCACTTTTTATTAGTTACCAGTCACTTGTCATTTGTGTTAAATCCCTTTATTAATTGTTTATTTGTTTTGGTACCAGGATCAAACTCACCACCTGGCACATGCCAGGTGCTTATGCCACTGTGCTAAATTCCCAGCCTTTACTAGTTTTTTAAAGTTAACTTTTTTCCTAGGAAGTTGGAAAGAGTTTGTATGCATCCAGTTTTTTCCTGTGTCCTTTTTATAGATAAGCACTGGAAGAAATTCTGAATTTCTGATACATAACTGATTTGATTTCTTTCTGGCCTCCAAGAATATGTGTGTAGATTACCGTGAAAAAATGCATAGTCCTTGGGGTTTTCTATCAGTGTGTGCACAGCCTGCTCACCGAGCCTCACCACATGATGACATTGGAAGGTTATGTATGATTAGAGCATGACTTCAGAGGGACTTTTCCTTCACTCAACACTGACTAGATGTGCTCACTCCTGCGTCATTGTGTAAAACAGCCTTCAGATCACAGTAACAGTAACAGTGTATTTTTTTCCTGCTTTATTTCACAAGGATTTGAGATACCTATGAAAACCCTAATTTTAGACTAAAAAAGCATTTATGTCACTGTCTTTTAATATTTTGTTCTAAATTTTGATCTTTTCTAAATAGCAAATTATGTAGAAACATCCCCCCCCTTTTTTTTAATGCACAGAGTCCCCTCTCCCACGCTGTCCCTTGGCCCAGTTTCCATCTCTAGAGGAAACTGGTATCACCAAGTATATATTTGTTCAGAAGTAATTTAAGCTAAATGCCCCACCCCTTTTATATATATCCATGTGCGCTAAAAAGTATTGTTTTACACCATGCTTTTATTCCATAAAAGTTTATTTGGAGATATCTCTGAAGTAGGTGAAAAGAACTTTCTTACTTTGTGGCTGTTGGTTAGGAACCCTACGATTCATTGAGTCACTGCCTGTTGACAGGTGCTTTCCGTGTCCATCAATAGAGACAGCCTTATGCAGCAGAACCTCAGGCACCACAGAGCTGCGTTTTACTCCTCTGGGCCTTGAACAGCCCCATTCCCCAGGCAGAGTCCTAAGTTCTGTGAGGGGCACTGGGAGCAAATGGTGGCTTGTACACTCTGCTCCCAAAGACTTGCCTGCAGCTGGTGAGACAGGTCATGATGAAGAAGCAAGCACATACACACCAGGACCGCTGAGTGTCTTGAAGGATATAAGTGAAAAACTTCATGGATGGGGCACAGGTATCTAGATACTGGCATAGTTAGCAGAGACCTGTTTGAGCCCCAGCCTCCTTACTGTCCATACAGAGTCCTGTGAATAAGATAGGGAGTGATGCAGGCTGGTCACCTGGGAATGAAAGTCAAAACTCAAGAGCAAAGTCTAACCCTGCTGTCCATCTGCAGCAAAGCATACGTCCCACTCATCTTTTAGTTTCCCTGTGTGCTCAATGGAAGTATTTCTCCACTTCTTCCCACCATTATTACCTACAGTATTCCCCCAGAAGCCTTTTGGCCCTTTATTCTCCTCTCTTTGCTTCCTTTATGAAATTTTAATAAGTACAACTCTATAATTTTTTTTAGGGCTGAGTGTATAGCTCAGCAGCATGGTGCCTTCCTGGCAAGCACAAGGTCATTAGTTCAATTCCTAGTACCCCCCCCACCCCAGAATTTTTTTTGATACCTAGCTATTGGGAAGGTCACAAACAAGTATAAAATCTAAGTGACTTTGCCACACTTTCCCAAAACCAGTGTCCTAAATCATCTAAAATATCAACTCAATCTGTGGTCCTCTGGCCTGACAGCCAAGTTGTTCCTCTGTTTGGATGGTGGCAAAATCACATGGATAGGATTAAGGGAGAAAACAAACAGGAGGAAGAGAAGAGTGGTTGTTTCTGATCCAAGCCCTCTGGTAGTGTGTGTTGGAAAAACTGTCTTTGTATATGAAAGCAAAGTTCCAGGAGGTACAGGAAGTATAAAGAGAGAACAGGAGGAATTAGGGAGAGGCTAAAAAGTAAAGAGAAGGTCTTCCTATTATCTGTCCTTCTGTGCTCCCACACTGCCTTATATTTAGCATTCCATAGTATTACAAATGTAATCAAGCATTCAGTACTGCCTGGATGTCAGGGAGTAAATTAACACTTTTGATGTCCATTAACACTCATTCCAGCCTCAAAGTAGCTACTCACAGTAAGATACATTACCCCACTCTATAGATGTGGGCAAAGGACAGCACAAAGCCCATCACGGTCACCCCTGGTCCTGCTCACACTGTGCTCTCCCTCTGCCAGTCACATGTTACAGCAGTGCGTGGTAGCAATGACCTCTGAATGCAACAAGAAGGTCCTACTCATCACGGCCTAACCATTCCTAGTATAGAGTTTGTACAGAGTAGATTAAGTGATGGGCAGTGAATAGACAGATTGACAAACACACATCTAAGTGAAATTGTTTCTTGAAAAAAGAGATCCACAGTGTAGTACAGTCATGTAGTAAGCTGATTTCACCAAGATTACAGGGCTTTCCTTAAAGACCAACCATATTCTAAGCTCTTTATTTTTATTGTTCTTTCCAACCCATTTTTCTGCCACTGCTCTCTCTAGCTAAGCAGCACATCCACCTCCTCCGCCTCCTCCTCTTGCTCCTTCTCTGTGAACTCTTTTATCTTGAAGTCAGGAAACCCTAGGCAACTGCCTCAGAACAATAAAATGCCTGTTCCTTGGTTTTAAAGCTTTCACTCTAAAATCAGGAACAAAATAAGAATGCTCACTATTATCACTCCCATTTAATATAGTTCTGGAAGGGCTGGGGATTTAGCAGCACAAGCGCCTGCCTGGCAAGCACAAGGTCATGAGTTTGATCCCCAGTTCAAAAAAAAAAAAACAGTATAGTTCTGGAAACATTAGCCAGAGCAATTAAATAAGAGAAAGAAACAGAAGGATTAAGTATAGGAAAGAAAGAAGTTAAAATATTTGTAGATGAATGATATTCCACATAGAAAACTCCAAAAACTATACCCAAAGTCTTCTAGCCATATTCACTCACATAGCAGGACACAGAGTCAGCACTCAGAAATCAATAGTATTCCTATATATGAATAACAAACTCATTGAGAGAAAAATTAGGGAAACTATACCTTTCACAGTATCATCCCCCAAAATGAAATACTTAGGAATCAATCTAACAGAGAAATAAAAAATCTAAAATTACAGTATTCTGAAAAAGGAAATGGAAGGGGATATCAGAAAACAGAAAAATATCCCTTGCTCTTGGGTAGAAAGAACCAACACAATGAAAATGGTCGTGCTCCCAAAAGTGTTACTCAGATTCAATACAAACTCAAGCAAAATACCAGTAGCATACCTCATGCAGTGAGAGGAATCACTCCTAAAGTTCATGTGGTACTAGAAGAGACCTAGAGTAGCAAAAACAGTTCTAGGCAGCAGTGGCAAAGCAGGGACATTACAATCCCTGACTTGAAATTATACTGCAAAACTACTGTAATAAAAACAGCAGGTTACTGGCCAGAAAAAAAAAAAAAGGAAAGAAAGAAAAACAAGACTTAAAGAGCAAGGGAACAGATTAGAAGATGTAGAAATAACTGCAGAAACACTCAGCCACCTTCTCTTGGACAGAGAGACCAAACATGTTCACTGGACGAAAGGTAGCCTCCTTAATAAATGGTGCTGGAAAAATTGGCTTTCCACATGCTGAAGACTAAAACGAGACCTGTCTCTCACCATGCACCAAACTAAAATGGCAGTGGATTGGAGAGCTAAATATTAAAACAAACACGAACTCTGCTGGAAGAGCGAGTGGGTAGAACTCCTGTGAGGTGACAATCCCGTGGTGGAATCTTGCACTGAACTGTAGCTGTGAGCAGAACATTGTAGTCCCTGCCTTCACTGAGCTCACGTTCCTGTGCAAGGGGTAGGACAGATGGTGATTTCAGACACCAAGAGGTGCTGACAGCCTGTTTTGTAGTTCTCTCCTTACTCTGCCAGGCATCTAGAGAATTTTTCTAGTAGTAGAAGTGTGGGTGATGGCCCTGAAACGATGCCACGTGGCGTTTCAGGACACAGCCTCTGAAGCCACATGGCCAAGCTGACATGCAGTTCTGCTCGCTCTGGTTTCCCGCCTCACCACCATGTGGGGATGGCCCTGCGCCTGTCTGGGGAAACCTGGTACACGTCGAAGGAGGTGGGCACTTCCACAGAGCTTGACATGGGCAGGGCTCAGACAGGGAGTCAGGTGTACGGTTTTGTGTGCAGTTTCTTTTCAGCTATCTCCCATGTTTCCTCTGTTTTGACTTTCAGCTCCAGGGTCTGAGCCACAATGTGATCTTCACTTTGGATTCCCTGTTAAAAGGAGACCTAAAGGGAGTCAAAGGAGTAAGTGTTTAGAAATTTTCATATTAACTTGAAAGAGACAGTTTTCTTTCCCTTTTGAGATCATAGTAAGATTTGAGTTTGAAAGGCACTCTAAACATTTTTTGTAGTAAAAAAATGTTCTTGGACTATGGTTATTAGAAAAGATGTGCTTCATATGATGGTATTGGCCGAGGAGCAAGAGTACACACTTGGAGAAGGGTGATGAGGAAGCCTCACTGGGGGACAGAAAGCAGGGCTCGGGCCAGCTCCCCCAGCACGACCTTGGGCCAAGCTTTCTCGGAACCTCTGGGTTCTGCTGTGCTGGCCTGGCAGGATGCCTCCCTCCTCCCAGCTCGGGTTCCCCTGTGTAATGGGCCCTATAATGTGCACAAAGTGCCTTGCAGAAAGTTTCATATACCCTATAAAGGAAGGCATTTATGCTAAAATATTATTTTAATTGTTCATTTTAAGGGAAAGTAAATGAAATTTTATTTTCTCTTTAAGGATCTCAAGAAGCCATTTGACAAAGCCTGGAAAGATTATGAGACAAAGTTGTAAGTTGTGGTTTTGTTTTTAGTTTTTGATTTTCTTTATTTTATTGTTAAGCATTCTGTAAGAAAAAATAAATGAAAAAAGGACAGAGCCCTTAATATCTTCTTAACAAAAAAACATGTAGTGTGCCCGTGTAGTGACTAAGAGGTTGGGTATTCGGATCTAGTTAAAAGTGAGCAGTGCTCGTGGTCTAGAATGACCAATACTTTTGCTATCAATTATTGTGACATTTGTGGCTGCTGGTACTGTGAAGTTGTAGGCCTATGACTGTTACGATTGTTCTTTGATGAGAGCTAGCGTGTGTCCATGGACCATTTACATTTTTGTGGAGTATCACAATTGGAAGTAATAGAAGTAATAATGCCCACGATATGATACCCTTCTGCCTGTCCCAGCCTGCGGTATGTTTTACATGTGAGCCCCTGAGCCTGCTTGTGTGAAGCTTTCACTCTGTTTATACCTCAGAAGCTGAAGCCAAGAGGGGCTAATGGGCTTTGGAAGGTGGCAGAAGCAGTAACTGGCTGGCTGGCATTCACACTAGGTTTGTCTGCCTGGAGCCTGAGCAGGTAACACGGGCACCGGGTTGAACCCCCAGTCAGGCCAGGCAAGCTGTGTTCTGGCCAGCCTCATCTTCCTGCTGTATGCATCCTGCCGTGTTCCTTTATTAATATTATGCCTGGAGATGTGGAGTTTCACAGCCATAGGGTAGAATGAGGAAAGACCTGTATTTTAAAACTTTTAATGAAAATCTTGGCTGTAATCTTAGATAACTGTGACCATAAGAGAATAAAATATTTCTATCAGCAGCAGTAGCAGCAGAATGCAAGCTGAAATAAAAGGAGAAGAAACTCAGGATTGAACATGTTTCCCCAAGCTACTTCTGTAATTGCTTATGTAGAAAGTGTCCCCTTGGGAACTTGCTATCTCAGGAGTGCTCTTGTGCATGAACAGTGCATGAACAAGTGAACCAAAGGGCTCCCGGAAGGCCTTGTGGCATAAGAGCACTGTGGGCTGAGGTCTCTGCACATGCAAGATGGCTCGGGAGTCCTCACGAGTACTCAGAGCAGAGTGGGTCCTGGGGACTGGGTCTGCCGAGGGAAGTTTTGTCTTTATCTTTTAATACATTCCTATGGACAAATTACTTTTCCTAAAATAGATTTCTTTCTTACTGAAGCATAGTGGTGCAGGAAAAGAAGAAAACAGTTATCTATTTGATGTAGTAGGACTCACTGGCCTGTTTGATATAGTAAAAGCCACAGAAAACAGAACAACTTTGTACGAAAACAGTTTACTACCTTTGAAAGTACGAAGTAGGCTGAACATCTTCTTTGGCCTTCTATTTAGACTTCAGGAGACAGTGAAGTGTAGCAGTTGAATTTACAGACTTAGACTCATTACCAGTTTTGTGACTGAGCCAAGATAATTTTTGACTTTGATGATCCTTGATGCCTGTTTGTGTTTGAGGTAGAGTCTCACTATGTATTCCATTTGGCCTTGAACTCACTATGTCTAAGACTGGCCTCAAACTCATAGTGATTTCCCCTGCCAAGTGCTGGACTTACAGGCATGCGCCACTATGCCTGACTTCACTTGTAAAGTAATGTAAAATTTACCTCTTTCTCAAGGTTTTTGTGAGGACAGGATACTGTAGTAAAGCTGTTGTCAATACGGTAGTCACTCAAATGGTTTATATAAAGTTCTTTTTAATTATCAAATTTACCTGGCCAAAAATAATGCACACATAAAATAGAGCATCAGATACACAGTACTTGCATCTGTTAGGATTTATTCTGCAGGGTATGGCACAGTTGCCAAATGGCAGTGGTTTCAATACTGCAGGCATTTACCATAGAGCAAATGGCTTTCTAGGATGGACCATAGCACTCTCACTTGTCACCACTGTCCTCAGAAGCTAAGGTCTGGCTTTGTACATGCACTGGGCTTTTCACAGATGACCAAGGGGGAATGTTGGCCAGCGGCAGGTGGGCTTCTGACAAATAGCAGCAGCTGCCTGGCCACTGCCCCAGCCCTGCCGATCCTCCTCCTCTCTCTAACCCTTACCTGAGTTTTTACTTCTGTGAATGTTTTCTCCTTTCCCTTTCTTCCTTGCCTCTCTTTCCAGAACTCCTTTTCATAGAACATCAGACTTCCTGGGTTGTTTTTGCATTTTGATCTCCTGTTCTATTCATGCTATTTCTAAAAGCTCATTAGTTCAACCAAGTTTTGGAGAGTTTTTGTTTTGTTTTTTAGCTGACTCTGTAAAATATTCTGCTGTGTGGTGATCTATAATTCCTTCTCCTGCCCCTCCTTGTTGTTTTGCTCATTTTCACTTTCAGGTTAGAGACTGTGCTTAATTATCTTACAATCCTTGACTGCTCATTCATATCTCAAAGCAAGTCACCCAAGGCCTGGTTGATAATCTCATGTTTTTCATCGAGAATTGTCAAGAGAGCAGTGAGTCATTTTTGGGATGGTAAATTTTAGATGCCAGGACAGCTCTTGCTGGGAGTGTCCCAGACGTCAGTGTCTGAGTCCACCTTACCTAGTGATTGTGTGTGGTGACATGCTGGAAGCTGTGTGAGCAAAGAAAGCATGCATGTCCATGCTTTGAGGCACAGACTACTCTTCAGCCTTACTCTTCCAAATGTGTGTTGAGTTTTCCCCTCCTTTATTGGCATCAGTTTGTCTTAGAGTGGCTTTACCTTTTTTACCTTTATTGTCATGTTAGTAGGATTGATAGACGGAAAATAAATACATGGCCGCTGACTGAGTCACGGTGCTAAGCAACAAGGCTAGCATCATTAAGCCGTGCCTGCTGTGCAAACCTCTGCAGCTTTCTACTTCTCTTACCATGCATGTAGCTGATACTTCCTCTCCTTCTTCTAAACTTTCTCCCTTCACACATTTTTAATTGCCCCCCCCCCAGCATGATCAGAGTTGCTTAAATACAGCATCCGTAAATTGGAATTCATTCCAGCCAGGTTTTTCATTGGTTAATGGGCTGATTATTTTTTCCCTGTGGGTGTATATAGGGAATGACACATAACTTTCTGTGGTATTTGGTTGTGTATACTACAACTATAATTTAAGACTTGAAGGTTGTCAGGCTTTCCATTCACAAGTAGAAAGTAAAGTTAGTTTCTAAAATTAGAAGTCTATTTTCAAATTAAGTGAATTTTTGGAAAGAGTGGATCATTGAAATGGTTGCTATACTATCACTTAGTAAAGCCAACCAGGCAGCTTAATCTGGACCTTCCTGCTTTTTTCTCTGGTTCTCCCCTGACCTTACTCTCCTCACCAGAGATACCTTCATAGGATCTCAAATTATACATTGCATTTCTCCTACTCCTTATTTTGTGCAATCCAATGACAAATGGTTAAATTATTAAAATGTGTTATTGGACTGTCATTATATACTTGGTCTTGAAATAATTGTAATTATTACGATCTGCCAGTAATCAAGAAAAGCATTAGGTCTCCAACTTCATGCTTCTTTTTCATTTCAGTGGGCTTTATCCAAGAAAAAGTAAATGACCAAAATTCCCTCTTGGCTAACCAGAATGTAAGAAAAGTTTTATGAATTCCATCATGTGCAGGATTAAAGTTAAAGTGTAATAAGTTTCCTACATGAAAATCCAAGCAATGTGTTTATTCTCTTGGAGCCTAGAATTTTACTAAAGAAGATCCTATTGACTTAAGAAGTCTTGCCTAAAGAAATACTCAGTAACTTTCACTAGAGGAGTTGAAACCAGGGCCTTGAATATGGTAGGCAAGTAATGTGGTGGTGAGCTACATCCTTAGCCCAAAGACTATTTCTGAGCAGAAGACACAGATCTCATCCCCAGCCTCCCCATTACCGCTCAAACCACAAGAATGGCACATTTGATTCAGTCAGGGAGCCTACATGGATATGCCATTGTCACTTGTGGTCCATGGTGTGCATTAAGGTGCGTATCTGACATTGTACATGAGTGTGTTCCTAACAAAATAATGACACCTGTTTTAATTACAGCACAAAAATTGAGAAGGAGAAGAGAGAGCATGCAAAACAGCACGGGATGATCCGCACAGAAATAACTGGAGCCGAGATCGCAGAGGAAATGGAAAAGGAAAGGCGCCTTTTTCAGCTCCAGATGTGTGAAGTAAGAATTGGCTTTTCCTCCCTGGCCTGGCATTTTACTGGCTGTGATCTCCTGCCTGTCAGCAGGCTTCGTGCTGGAAGGCAGGCGGAGGTTGACTGTTAAACAAGGGGACTGTTTCCTAAGGATTCTAATCTCCATTTTTCTCCAAGCCTTTGGGAACCACCATTGCACTGTTGTCTCATATTTTGAGCCTTGGTCCTTTGGGGCCCTTTAAGCCAAAACAGGATTCTTTGGTGAGAACCTTAATGCTTCTTGTGCGTGACTGGGGAGGAAGTTGTTGATGAATGGTAACCCTGGAAGATGTTACATGTTTGGTGCATGGTTTGTTTTGGTTTTTTTTAACGAGGCCAGTTTGAATGAAAGTTAAATGATGGAGTCGTTAAGAAAGTCTGAGTCCATGGGAAAAAATGCAGTGAGAAGCATGTTTCTTTAAACTTAGACAGTGACTCTCAAACTGAATTCCACTGAGCACTAGAGCTCTTTGACCTGGAGACCTGTTCTAACTTTTACATAATGGAGATGCTTTTTCAGTTTTCAAAAAACATTAAAACAGAAAATTTTCTCAGTTTTAAAGCTTCTCTTCTGACTTTTTTTTTTTTTTTGTACTGGGCATCGAACTCAGGACCTCACACTTGCCAGGCAGGTGCTTCTGCCACTGAGTCCTTTTTTTATTTTTTTGAGACAGGGTGTCGCTGCATAGTTCTGGCTGGCCTTGAAGTCACTATGCAACCCAGGCTAACCTCAAGCTACCAATGACCCTCCTGCCTCAGCCTCCTGAATGGTGTGCACCACTGAGCCTGGCAGGTTTTTTTTTCTTCCCCTTCCTGATAAATCTCTGGATGCTTCAATACTTTCACATAATAAAACAAGTGAGCAAGAAGCAAAAAGTCTCAGTAGAAAATTTTGTCAATAATGAAAGTCAGAACCAGTACTGTTTGTTAGTAGCTGAATGAATTAATAATGAAAAAATTGTTTCTTGTTCATTCCTTAGCTTAAAACTTTCACAATCTTACACCCTTTTCTTTCTTTCTTTCTTTCTTTTTTTTTTTTTTTAAGAAAGTGCTGGTCTTGTTTTTCACAAAGAAAAATCCATCTATCCAGATCATTCAATCTATAAGTTTGAGATCCACTGTGTACAAAGGAGAAGTAATTAGCTGTCCGAGAAAGTTTTGCTGTGTTTTATTTCTGCGTGTCTGGTGAACTAATAGTAAAAGCTTATAAAGAGCTAACACTGTCACCCATCTGTCCTGTGTGCTCTGTGACTGCCTCACCAGCACTCCCCGAATGACGCTCGCCTTGTCTGAAGGCCACCCAGGCTCGCCCACTTGTACCGGCTCCTGGACGGTGTTCTGCCTCCTAAAGCCAGGTCTCAAGACTCCTATCTGGAATGTTCAACATGGAATTCTGTTTTATTTTCACAGTATCTAATTAAAGTTAATGAAATCAAGACCAAAAAGGGTGTGGACCTGCTGCAGAATCTTATAAAGTACTATCACGCACAGTGCAAGTAAGTAGAATGCTGCAGTCATTATGGTTGGCCCAAGGAGGGGCCCTTTGTTTCCTGGGTTTTCTTGCTGCTGTCTTTCTCCTTCATTTGTGGCCGTATGTAGTAATGTGATGACTTTCCACAGCTAAAAGAAGTTGTACTGTCTTCCATAATCAGTGTCTTACATAGATCAATAACTCAGGATAGGCAGTGATCACTTGGCAGTGCTGTCTCTCACCATGACAGCTCCTGGAGTTCCTGTGACAGTGTCTGGGAGGCTGTCAGTCAGAAGGCCTTTCTGGTGGCATTCCCACTCCACTTTCTCCCTTTGCTGGTGTTTCTGCTATTGGATGGTTTACACCATAGTACGTTCCCACCTGGGACTGTTGGGCCTTTTGTTTTTGTTTTCCTTTATCATTTTACGTAAGTAAAATTAAAGACTTGAGGCTTTAAGAGCACTTTGCATTTATATAGAGACTTCTGTGAAAAGGTGCTGTATTGTGAGACGTACCCATTGTTCTACATTGGCACCATTTTTATTTGCTTGCTTGCTGAGCTGTCTTTGTATTCTCTTTGCACCACACTATTCTCGTTGGCAGCCTTCTCACTGGATTGAGTTTCCTGAAGTCTTCCGCTGACAGTATGCCGCTTACTGGTAGTCTTATTAGTTGGTGAAAAGTATAGGGAAAACAGGGCAAGGACTCTTCCAAAACTGTGTGGTGGCACAGTTTTTATAAGTAGAATAATATAAGTAGAATAATATAAAATTCATTTGGACTAAGTAAATTATTTTTTTAAAAGTTAAACACTTAATTCTTTTAGGTCTCTTTTCTTTCTTTCAATAGTGTTATACCTCCGAAGAGCTTTGTATGCAACTAAAATATTCAGGGAGCCCAGCATTAACATTGTGGGGAAAGTACAAGATTTGAGTCAGCTGACAGATAAGTTCAGACTGTGACTCTGGAGATGGGTGACCGTGTAATCTCTCTCAGGTCCTTCACTGAACCTCAGTGTCCTAACCTGTCAAGTGGGTTACGGTTCATAGCACCTACGAGAATAGGAGAGTAAAACAAAATAATGCTTATAGAGTAGTAATCCCAGTGTCTGTAACATTAGTGTGGTTATATTCCACGTGGCAGTAAAAAATGTTCATCATATTTTTCTGTCAGGATGTTTGTCTAAAAAACTTTTTGATAACCAAATTATTATTTGCAGAAATTTGATTTGTTAAAATTTTTTCCTTTTTCAAACTGAATTCTACCTTGCATAAATATCCTTCAGAAATATGAAAAATATGTTAAAGGCAAAACAGTTCCCACATTAATAGAATGAAGCTTGTCTACAGAAGATCTGGGCTAACATTGCAGTTATGAAACTTTGAAGTATGCTGTGCTGATCTCTGAGTTTAGTTCCGGGTGAAATTTTTCATCTTTTAATTTACTTCAGTTTTCTTAAAAACATTTTAATGCTTTTAATGCCTTTTTGCCAGAGCAAGTCAATCTCTTAGTCTTTTGGATTATAACACTTGATAGCAAATCAGATTTTACCTGACTATAGAAATTTCTTACATGCTCACATTTTTAAGTCTGTAGAGGGGAGTTTTACCTATACAAACATTAGTTTTCCAGAGCGTGAGATGCTTTTTAAAATGTACATAGTTTAATTGGTAAGCTTTGTTAGTACATGTGAAAGGAGCAGCACTAACTTAGAGAGATTATGCATTCTGCCTTTATTCCTTCATTTTTTCCCTTTTCCCCAAGCACAAATATTTGTTCATCTCCTACCAAGGCCAGATACTCTGCTGGGTTCAGTGTAGGGATCAAACAGGACTTCTCCCCTCAGGAGTTAATTGTAGAAGAAGTAGTCGTGTACACCAAGAAGCATGGCGGGCTACACAGAGACCACATGGGCATCGAGAGAAAGTTCGACTCCTGGCCAGAGTAGCTGAGGAGAGGATACTTGGGACTGGATATGGAGGGTGCTGGACACTGGCCCCTGGATTCTGTCAGAAGTATTCCCCTTAGGGCAGAGACAGATCAGCATCTCTCTGCATGGGAAACACTTCGTTGTAAGTGTAAAGAATGCTAGTGACAGAACTGGGGTAAAATGGAACTTGGCTATATGCTGGCTTGCGGTTGGATCTAGGAACGCCATCTCAGCAAGATGCCAGAGTGGGTTTTGTTTCAAGTATTTTTATTTTTTACTTGATGCAGTCCCTTGAAGCTTTCAATACAATGATACCTCAGAACTTAATCATTAATTGATTCCTGGAGGCACAGTGAGTACCAGAACACAAGTACCAAACAAATTGTTTTGGCTGGAAGTGGCAGTGACTCACGTAGTAATCAGCACCAGGAAATTTAAGTTTGTGTATCTAGTGCCACATAATGTGTTCCAGGACAACATTTTCCATCAAAATGTGTAGGTACCAAATGCTAGGTGTTTGAAAGCAGTCAAGCGCCAAGACATGACTGTAGACATATTGAGGACCTGTAAAGTATTCCATACTCAGATTTGTGTTTAAAAGATTTCTTCTCTGGAGTACTATTTCCAGTTCCACATATTTTCAGTATAAAATCAGCTGTTATTTAACAATGAATTTACCTTGTATAGCCTTTTATAACATTGGAATGTAAGTGCAGCTACTGCAATGAAAGAATATGAGAAGTAGAAAAGAAATTTTGACTTTCTTATGCGTTTCAGCTCTCCCACACCAATTGCTCCTCACTTTCAGACATGAATATTGTCAGTAACGTGCTGCCCTCAAAACAAATGCAATCCTGCTAGATTATCGCTATGATCTCAGAGTCCACAGCATTTCCAAATGTTGCCTTATTGTTTCTCATTTTACATGCAATAATAAGAGTAAATATTTACCAAGAGCTTCTTTTACGGCCAGGATATATAACTTGCCAAAGATATTTACATGTATTTTCTCATTTAATATTCCTAGCATTTCGAGAAATTATAGCTCAAAAAGTATCAATAACTTGCCCAAAGTCACATTCATTCATTTATTACTCAATAAACATGTGGCAAAATAGGTATAATGAGCACAGGAAGTCAAAGAAAAAACTAAATTGGATTTCAAAGTTAAAAACTTGTTTATGAAAAGATACTGACGGGAGCGAGAGATGATAACCCACACAATGAGGAAAAATCCTTACACATCACTGATCTAATAATGATCCAGTGGACCACGTAATAGAGAACTCAACAACAAAAGGTAAATAACTCAAGTTTTATACAAGCAAAGATTTTATATAGCCATTTCTCTGAAAGGGATACAAATAGCCACAAATCACATGAAAAGATACTCAATATCATTAGTCATCAGGGAAATGCAAAATCACAATGAGATACCACTTCATACCAGTGAAATGGGCATAAGTAAAATACACAAAAATATAAAGTAAATCTTAGAGCAGATAAAAGAAATTCAAACCCATGCTTCACTGGTAACGTGAAGTGGTACAACTGCTGTCAACAAGTTTGGTGGCTCCTCAAATAGGTAAACGTATGGAGAATGATCCAAAGGTGTGGCGTGTGTTTAAATTTTCAAATGATTACAGTAAAAGCACCTTGTCAATAATTCCCCTTAGGGGGCTGGGGATTTAGCTCAGCGGCATAAGCGCCTGCCTTGCAAGCAGGCAGTCATGAGTTCGATCCCCAGTACCGATAAAAAGGAAAAAGACAAAAAAAAAATAATAATAATAATTCCCCTTAGAATACTCCACCTCACTCCGGACACACCTTCCTTCCTTCTGGAGCAGTTCTCGAGTTCTTTTATGAGAGCATCTTCAGTGACACCGTCTTGGCTGCTTTAATGTCCTTTATCAGTTGAAATTATTTACCTTTCATAGTTATTTTTACTTTGAGGAAGAGCCAGAAGTCATACGATGCCAGATGCTGTGCATAAAGTGGATGAAGAATACCACAGTGATTTTACAAGTTGGCCTTTCCGTTGGATGACTCTTCTGACCCTCAGCAGAGCATTTGCCTTAATTTTTACCACACTTCATGAAAAGACTCACAAAAGAGGACCTCTAGAACTGCTTCAGAAAGTAGCAAAAGCAATGCGATGAGTGTGATCAGGATGGAGGGAGGTATTTGGTGGGGGGATTGACAGTGTCTTAACATTCACCATATTTTTCATCACTTTTTGTAGGGTTACCATATGACCCAGCACTTCTAATCCTAAATGTAATCAAAGCAGGTATTTCTCCAAAAATGTACATGGATATTTATAAAACCAGTATTTACAATAGCTAAGAATGCAGAAATACATATATACTGTACCCATCAGCTACAGATAGTTAAACAAAAGTGGCACATCCATGCAGTGAAATGTTACTCAGCCATGCAAAGGAGTGCTGCAGGTTTGAGGAATGTTTAAACCATTGTGTTAAGTGGAAGAAACCAGACTTGTAAGACCATGTTATATGACTGTGTATGTGAGATGTTCAGAACAGACAAATCCACAGCGAGAGAGGAGCCATTGCTGGAGACAGCTGGAAGGAGGAAGTAGTCAGTAGTAGCATGTAGAGGGTTTCTGTGGGACTTGATGGATGGGTTCTAGAATCAGTGGTGCTGTTGGGAAACATTGTGAATATACTGAAATCTACAAAATACTACACTTCAAAATAATGTTACATGAACTTTATCTCAATATGATAAAAACTAAACCAAACAAAAAATATAGTCCTGGATCTTATAGCTAGAAAGTAATGGAATGATGTTGTCTCAGTTACTTTTCGCCCTGCTGAGACAAAATGTTGGACACCCAAAGTTAAGAGAGGAAAGGTTTACTTGGCTCACAGTTTATGGCAGGCAGTGGGCAGCGAAGAGGGCAGCAGACAGTGAGTGGTGAACCAGTCAGGGGCAAGTGAGGGCACCAACTGCCTTTCTGTCCCTGTGTTTTACCAGAGAGATAAAATGTAAAGGGCACCCTAAGGGAAAGGTACCCATGGTCCAACTAAAACTATGACAAGCCAGTCCGTGGGCTGCTTTAGGAATCACCC